GCAGACGTATTGTTATTGGGGTTACAGTCACAAGGGTCACTGACACTGGCTCTAAGAGAATACGTAAATTAGGCAGAGAGGATTGAATTGTGAATTTAGTGGACCTGTCACCTAATTCTCTTAGGCTTGGCCTCCGAATTTAGAAGCCAAGTATACCTATATAATATAAGGTAATTTGTGTTACAAATTGTCGAATTCGAAAACATTTTTTAGCTATTTTTAAACAACAATTAACATTTTACTTAAATTTTCACACAATTGTGTAGTCAAGTGACATAATACGTGAATAATGAGCAAACGGATGCTTAAAATGTGTCTACTGAATAATTAGCTTAATGTGACTTACGATACTATACCTCCGATATACAGAATTGAACAAACTAAATAAAACTATTTTGTGAAACCGATTGGAAAAGTATTACCGTGGAGTTTTTTAGCGATAGAAATCTGCACTTTGGAACATGCAAGTCAACCTATGAGCTTGAGGACTGACAGATTGACACTTTTTCACTAGCGGCACCTATACCTTCAGTACTAGAGTTACAAATATGTACATAACCGTCCAATTTCAATGTGATTTGCTAACGCAACTGCTACGTAACATGTAACAAATATTTTTTATTTTTTATTGCCAACAATTTGTAGATCACACACAGACTTTTTAATTCCTTCAAGATATAAAAAGTGATTTTTGTAAGAGCTTTTCTGAATAAAACTTAATTGAATAGTGCCATTTCATTTTTGCAAATAATAAAACAACGATACGACCAATCCTAACCTTAATATCAAATAATTTTGCCAAAAATCACCTCTACATAGAGTTCACAGTGAGATAACTCTACATGTAGGCGCTATAAGTCGGGCTTAACGCTACATATCGCATTAGAGAGCATCCGGTCCGACCGGATGTACAGCTAAGTTCCGTAAGGCTGCGCTGCTGAAGGCTTTATAAGTGATCTCTACACACAACGAATTTGTTGTTTACAATTTCTGTTCTAGTAGGAAGTTTAGAATTGAATTGTTTTAGCTAATATCTGCTAAGACATACACAATCCTTACTAATATTAAAAAGGGATCTTTTGGTTTTTCTTTCAAGTCATAACAGTAATTGTACTGTATACATTTTAGTTGAATCCACAAAATATATGATATGATAGCTGTTTATTTCCAATTTCAGTGAGGGTCGCGGTAATAATAACTCTGTCATAATGACAATTCCTTTCCATTTGATTGAAAAATTCAGGTATTAACTCAAATAGCCAACCACTCAGACCGCCAGTTTAGTGGTTTTTACTGAGATTTAATAAAATAAAATAATTAAATGAGGAAAAGGTTTTCTTGTTTGTTTGAAATCTCTAAACTCCGGAACTACTGGTTCAAATAAAATAATTGTTTTTGTATTAGGAAGTAAAACATTAATCGAGGAAGGAAAGAAGCAAAGCAACGATTGAAACCGCGTGAGAGTAGCTAGTATTTATACAAATAAGAACCCAGTCTGACGCGGAACTGTGGCAACTTTTGGCCGCATAATTAAATAGTATTATAACAAAATATTAGCTATATCTATGACTCTATGTATATTAAAAATAGCTGTAAGTCTATCGAAACATCACTACGTGTATTTTTATCATATATTTTAAATACACTTTCTAAGTATCTATTTGTAACATATTTTATACCTGTATAATGCAAATAAATGATTTAATTTGAATTGATTTGATTTTAAGACAAGATACAAAACACAAGCGTCCTCATTAATTTCGATACTGAGAAATGTTACGTGATGTAAAATCCGACTCGTTTCGGCCCGTACAGTGGGCGCCTCAAAGATGCAGTAAAAGTATAACTAACAAATAACAGAGTTAATATCGATACTTAAGTAATTAAGTCGTGAACTTCCAAGTTAATTTGTAAACTGAAACCGAGTTACCCGGGGGTAAGGGGGAGATCATTATTATTGACAATTAAACTCTGTCTGATTTGATTTAACTCAATCTTTCGAGTTTGTTGCGACCTCCACAAAGTCTTGAGATGCGTTCCAAGTTAGTGTAGACTTGTTGGAATATTGCTGCCTTATTTATTTATTGTAGACTAGATGTATTTCGTTTTACCTATGCAATGAAATGTCCAAAGACGAAAAGAATTTTTCAAATCGGTCAAGTAATTTCGGCATATATTGAACTCAAACTAACAAATAAGTTTAAGTGTGGGAGAGCCAAGCTTCGGCACGAATAGGTCGGCTCGACCGGAGTGGTACCACGGCCTCACAGAATACCGGCGTGAAACAACCCATAGCGTTGTGTTTCGCCGTGTGAGTGAAGTTACCGGAGGAGTGAAGTTTCCCAATCCTTATATCCGCAACCCCTATCCCCAAAAGGCCGGCAACGCACTCGTAACTCCTTTGGTGTTGCGGGTGTCCATATCCATGTCACTTATACCATTAAAAATAATCAAACTTTACAATATTGGTATACAATATGATATTGTAGACAAATGATATTTTGTAAAATACAACACTATCTTCAATAAAGCAAATAGAAGTAAATAGTTCAAACTTTGAGACGAACCCATGTTGTATTTTTTTTAACTATTAATTTCTTAGCTTATTGACTATGAACAAAACGGAACACACACATAAGACTGAATCATACTTTTTTTCTGAGGAGGAAAAACTATCCTTTGACGTCTTCCATATAAGTCTAGAGATAACGTCACACTCTTACTGACTAAAAACCCTTTCCCCTGCTCCGGGCCCGGGCCGTGGTACATTTACGGCTTGCCCCCGAAACCCCGAACCTTTTATAAGTACAGTAAATTCAATCGACCTTACAATCGACACGTTTATGAAATCACGATATGGCCTACATACCGGCTTGTTACAACAAATTAATTTAAATTAGACGTCGCTGAATCAATGTCAATAGGACATCGATCCCCATTTATGATACCGGTTTTTCAGAGTATGTTTTTAAGACTAAATAATCATAATATATGTTTATAAATAGCTTTTTTGGTCGAAATCATCAAATGCCTTCTCCCGCCATGGATAGAGCGAAAGGGAATGTAAGACTCTTACTGCCCAAAAACCATCCTGTTCCTTCTGCTGCTCTGGGCCGGGACCACGGCACTTTATTGAGGTTGCACCATCAATGCGAAACATCAGTGCTACTGGGCACCATCAATGGCGATCTGGTTCATTAATACCTACCTATATTATTTTGCCTCTGCCTAAAATTTTATATATGTACAAGTGGTAACGATACTATTATGATGATTGTAAAAGGTTTTAAAGTTTTTGAATAGTTATAAAAAAAGGTCAGCTTCAGCACTCATGGGACGGCTCGACAGAACTCGTCCTCACAGAATACTGGCTGAATTGAATTGTGTTGCGTCGGTTTAGTAAGGGCGCCGCCGCGCCGCGCCGATTGCTCCGCATTAGGTGATACATCGACTCGTTTGCAGCACTATCCCATGAAAAAAATACTTCTAGAACTTGTTATAAAGGTTTTGTATAACGTATTCCCTACTAAAAACGCGAAAATCAAAGATACCTAAAACCTACTATATAGCTATCTAAATATAATCCATAATCCCTCCTAATTCATCGTTCAATGAGAACCAACGATCCAGTTAACCAGCGTCTACAACTTCAAACATATCTGGTACATGTTAATGCGCCACAATATGGCAGCGCAATATAATTACTGTTGATTAGTGCGGGGCGGGCAGCGCGTTCTTAATCGAGTAATTGCCTTCATAAACTCAACTCTTCATAAGACCACCGAAGAGGCGGTGGTTATGGCAGAAGGTCTGTTTTATACAAACAATAAATTAAATTTTTGTTCCACTAGTTATTAGGTTTCATAAGGTCGAATTATGTATCAGTGAAGCAGGACTTTTATAGAAATTGTGAATGAATTAATTAATGAATGAGTACTAAATGATAATTGACTATATAGTACATTTATTTTTACCCAAATTGTCATCAAGAATAAAAGAAATGCTTATTTAGAAAAAGTTCTCAGTTTAAATAGAAGTAAATATTTATTACATTCTTTATTTGAAATTTTCATAATTTAGACGATACTAGCTTCTTGCTAGCTGCACACAATTATGCAATAATTTACTTGCGTGGTCTAAACAATACATACGCTATCATGTAAACGAGCCCTGAATTTATTCAACTCAATTATTACTTAATAATTATTAAAAAAAATATATATAGCGAAAAAAAGTAATAAGTATTCGTAACAAAAATGGACTTGTTTCTTCTGCCCATATTTTATCTGTGGCAGATGACACACACTTGCCCACTCTGTTGTCAACACTTGTAACATTTTGTGTATTTAAATAAAGTATTACGTAGATTAATTAATTAAAATGGTTAGCGGTCGCCCCGTCTTCTAATTACAAGAAAAATGCAACGATGTTACAGCGCCATTAATTAAGAAAACCTTTTTTATGATGACTTTTTTTAATTTTTATGTTGGAAGAGCTTTTACTGTCGTACACCCAGGCTTATTGCATGTTTTGTGACTAAGGGCTGATTTTTCAATGGTTAGATAAAAGTTATCTGGGGAATAATTATGATGCTGTCGCGTCAGAATGATTGTATAAGACAGTGACAGTGGCAACAATTTTATTCCTCAGATAACATTTATCTGAGTATTGAAAACTCAGCCCCTAGAATGGTAAAAAGGTAACGGTATGTATTTAAAAAAATACAAAATACTAAAACGAATAAGTATTTCAGATTATGGCATGCATGTATATGTTTATATACACGATTGCTCGTTTATAAGTTCAATGAAAAAGTGTTTGTGTTACAAAAAATATTATTTAAGAGAATTATGTTTATTTAATTATCATATTTATGCACACAAAATAATAAACATTGAGAATATTCCTAAAGGAATTTCTTTCTGTCGGCCTGCGTTAAAAGTGCTGTGCGCGATTTTTAATAGATGGATAATTAGTAAGCGATAGAATTAGGTACTTACTGGTCGAAAGGTGAGAAGATATGGTGCGGCGGGCGCTGGTCCATGGCACCGTCTCTAGAGCTGGCACTGCCCACTGATGGCGCTGGTGATGGACAGCTGGTTTCAGACCTGTACCAATTCAAATTCACCTCTCAATCGTGGTAATTCGAGACAGAATAGAAGAACAATAAGTGTGTGAGCGCCGGCGTTCGCTTGGGATTTGATGAGTTAAAGTAAGTAGCTGAAATGTTTTTGTATGAGGAGATAGATCACCCAATGGAAGGTCATTAGCGCCACCAACAACCACCGGCACCACCCGAGGAGACACAAATGCACTGGTAGTCTTTTAAAAAGGCATACGACCTTTTTTTGAATATTATTTTAATCCTTTGAAATAATCCAAATATGGTAAGTTCTACGAATTTATAAATTATGTCATATAGGTAAGTTATATATAAATAAACGACAAATGGTTTAATGATTGCAAATGAAAAATCGTTTTCCCAATGTTTCCATAATAAACATAAAAGTTCACACATGTACCCTCTTGTTCTTGTTATACATAAATGACCTTCCCAATATAACACCCCACCAATGTATCTTATTCGCAGATGACATATGTATCATTATCCCTAACACTGACCGAGCTAACAACCACCACGAAGAAGAGGTTAATAAAACCCTAGGACATGTAATACAATGGCTAACATACAATGACTTACAGGCTAACTTAACTAAAACTAAATATATACAATTTTCTAACTATCAAACAGTGACCAAAAAAATTACTTTGCAATATAATAATACAGTGATTAGTCCAACCACTGACATTAAATTCTTAGGTATAACTGTAGACAACTACTGCAATTGGAAGTCTCATATACATTATGTATGTTCAAAACTTAACAAATTTGTTTACGTTCTAAGACAGCTTAACAAAACTGCTACTCAATCCACAGCAATTGCTGCTTACCATGGTTATATAGGATCAGTTTTACGATATGGTTTATTACTATGGGGCAACTCAACTTTAATAAACGAAGTTTTCCTGGCACAGAAACGCTGTTTAAGAGCAATGTGTAATGCCGGTCCCTTTGATTCTTGCAAACCCCTATTTCAGAAAACTAAAATACTCACCATTTTTTCCTTATACATAATTGAAGTTGGTCTCTTCGTAAGAAATCACCCACAATTATTCGAAAAAGTTTCAGAAAACAGTGCATTCAGCAAAAGAGATCCTAGTAAGATTGTTGTACCAAAATGCAGAACCACTCTGTATCACAGAAATTGTATGTTTATGTGTATAAAAATCTATAATAAAATACCCCAAACTATCAGAGAACTTCCATTAAGATTGTTTAAAGTAAAAATAAAGGAATGGCTGGCACAAAAATGTTATTATGCACTTAAGGATTTTTTAGAAAATAAGTAATGTGTAACTTTTATATATTTTTATTGTTAACTTGTAATTTTGTTTTAATTAATAATGTACTAGCCCAAATGGGCCTTGATTATTGTATGCCCAAACGGGCTGATTGTTGTACTGTATACCACTATAAATATGTATAACACCTGTAACCAACACAATCAACACAATAAAGACTACTTTACTTTACTTTACTTTACTTTACTTTACCTATATTTATATCGAAAATTCTACGAGTACAACACACTTAAATACAAATAACATTGTTTCCTTTCTTTCTCTCTCTTTTCCTACCTTTCAAGTTTTAGTGACCTCAACATTCGAATTATTTGAAGACGCCTAAAAATACTTGACCATCAAATATTTTTAGTTATTTTAGAGAAACATACCTCTCATGCCTAGGCGACCTGTTAGGCGAGCGGTTAGGTGATCGCAAAGGCGAACGCCTCGGCGAGCCAGGAGTCACAGGGGGCGACGCGCGGGGTGACCCGGCCGCACCAGACACCGGGGATGCCTCCGCTGAGCCACGAGACATGCCGCATTCAGAAGAACCCTGGGTTACAATTGATAAGGAATGTACAGATAGATTGTGTAATTTTAAATTGTTGTGGTTTTTTAAAATTAATGTTTTATTGGTGTTTGTTTTCAAGTAATTGTACAGCATCAGTTCCAACATTGTGACTTGTTTTTTATTATATTCGCGCAAAATTCATTTAAATATATGTTTTTAATTGCCGTCGACTGAACAAAAAAATTCATTCTATATGAATTTAGAAGTTACATCTGCATGATGTAAGATTCATGAAGTACTTTATAATACCGTCAGTTATTATTAGTTAAATAAATGACAATCGACCACCAATCAATGTTTGATCACCCAATCACAAACCTGTTAAACGAGAATTAATTTCTTTAGATAAAATATATATTAATCACTCGAAACAAGATATATGCATTCTAAATTAGCTTATGCGACAATACGCAATCAGATAACACAGGATACCCTCGTCCTCTTATCATACCTTATCATCAGCAGGGTCCCTCTTGGTCAGCACATCGCCCTCCCGTTTTCTCTGTTCCTCTTTCAACCGCTCCGCTTTTCTCCACTTTGCTCGTCGATTTTGAAACCATACCTAGGAATAAAACAAAAGTAATTTAGACAGATTTAAACAATACATGCTAAAACAATAGTTGTGGCAGTCGTATTAGATAATCTGCAAAAACACACATCACTTCAGTTACAAACAAAACTTCTAAGCACGAAACTTAGGTATTTTACTCTAAAATATTTTTTATCATATGAATTTTATGATAAAAATAATCCATTATCAACACACATATCAAGTAAGACTTTTACCAAAACCACCATTTATAAACGTAATAAAATTTTATTCCCATCATAAATATGGGGTAAATAGAATTTATGGGGCACCGTGGTAATCCTCAATAGGCGAGCTGTCAACACTGGGGCACGCCAGCACATCATTACCACCCCATTTTGTACTCGTTACAACTCCAAGCTTACAAGATCATCTCGCCATAAGGGCACACTAAACCAAACAACAAGAACCCCACACTCAAACATTCACTTTGCTACGAGAGCTCCGCTCACACTAGACGTTTCTAAACAACAACCAATTTAACTTGATCTTTGATACTGAACAATAAGAAGGCTACGAAAGATTTTGTAAAGCTGGTACTTGTAAGCCGGTTAGCAAAATACATCAGGGCCACATTTGCACTGCAATTTTCGCAATTTACTTTTAATAAGCCTTGTTGGGAGAGTGCTACGAAATCTAGGGGATGATGGGGAAACACGCAGTTGTGGCAGTAGGTAGAAAATAGGATTTTTGTTGGATAACATTTATTCTATTAAGTAATCACTTCCTTAGAGCAAAATGTTTGTTGGTATATTAAGTATTAAATTTTATAGTTAACGTATTTTTAGTGTTGTTAATTCATTTATTTATTCATTCTAGTTTATACTGTCTTTAATTATGTATCTGTCTTTAATGTATGCAATTGCTTTGTTTACACTCAGTTACAAAATAACCCAATCTTTTTTTCTATGTGATATAACAACAAACGAGCTGATGGATAACCTGTGGTAAGCAATCAGCGCAACAACGGGAGAGTAAAGAGTGCGTTGCCTACTTTTTGGGATTAGGGTTTTGGGGATTGGGCCTCCGGTAACCTCACTCACACGGCGAAACATGACGCTGTAGTTATTTCACTCCGGTTTTCTGTGAGGTGTTGCAGTAGTACCACTCAACCCATTTGAGCAGAAACATGGCTCTCTCACACTTAATTTTTTCTAATTAGAAATTTTCAATTGTACCAAATATAAGTAACAATAAAAATCGAAAATAAAATAAAATGTCGTATCTACTCCTCTTGATCTATGTCGTGTAAAAGTGCCACAGTCCCTTAGCAGCAGTAAGCTAATTTCGTTAAAATAATAATCTGCCCATAATCCGAGACCCGCCTAATAGTTTTTATCTCTTGAAGGGTAGAATTAATATTTGAACATGTCGAAACACCCTTGTTATAAAGGCCCTTTGTGATACACTAGTATATTGTTATGAGGTAAGTACTAAGTAGGTTTTGTGGTAATTTGTATTTTTTTTTTTGTATAAGTCCTCTTGTTATTTATTTTTAAATAGTAACTATTTATAGTGAGACATACTCAATGTATTGATAAGAATGACTTATTCAAGTGAATTAATTGAGAAAAGCTCTATTAGTTTAAAGTCACAAAGGGGCTCTTTTTAATTTATTTATTAATTACTACTAATTTATTTATATTACACATACAAAATCATAGTTTATGCCAATGCGTTATACTGTTAGCTAATTTACAATATTTAAGCTTATACTAACAAAGAAGTAAAAAAATTGTCTTAACACATGAGCATGATTATTTCTAACTTGAGCTGGTAGAGTCATGATGTACATTAGTTAGCTAAATAAATACATATATGTATCTTACTATAATACTAGCTACTCTCGCGCGGTTTCACCCGCTGTTCCATTTGATCGTAGCGTGATGTTTAATAGCCTTTTTTCTTTATAGTACTCAGGAATATTGTAGCTAGCATAAGTGAAAGAATTTTGGCAATTCGACCAGGCAGCGGTTTCAAAATTATCCCCTACATACAAACTTACAAACATACAAACTTAAAAATTTTACCTCTTTATAATATAAGTATAGATAAATATAAAATAATTAATATGATGGCAAATAATGGGTATGACTGAATTCGTAAGTACGACTGCGTGAAATTCTATAATGTAATTTCCCCGTCACTTCAGACTAGAACAAGATTTAAAATCAAACATATTTCAAAGAATCGACGTGACCTAAAAAAAAATTAACATATATTAGCCCCAGTCTAGACACAGGGGTGTCACGCCAAGATCAAACCTTACAAATCACATCACTAATGACCCATCAATCACCCACTCCACTAAATACTTTTAAACACACATCCAATGTCATGATTCATGAGCCAATTCGCACACTAACACCATTGTAGCTTAAAAACACATGTCACTGCACATAAACCACTATACAATAACCTTTCAATGTTCACACAATCACTTACAGTTTAATATAAAAAGGGAGGTCAATCAAAACTGGTTGGTGTTCTCATTAAGGGGTGTGCACACTGGGGGTGCGGTAATTACCGTCTGTTACCAAACGTGGATTGTTTACCGTCCTTTAAAGTCCTTTACACGGTACATTGAGTGTGCTTGAGTAAAATAATAACAAATATTGTTCGGTGTGAACGACGCTTAAGGGCGTATGTATAATTACTTCTTTTGTTTCGTATAATGGGGTGTGCTTGTTTATGAAGTGATATTTTTGATTTAGCTTTGAATTTTTGATGTCAGTTTTAATTAGTTTCGTGGAACGGTGTTTCGAGTGCTTTTCTTTTTTCTTTTTATTGAATTTTTACGTTGAAAATTTTAACTCAAAAATACTTATAGAGTTTTTACGTAATCGCATTGTATTGTACATTAAATATGACAAAACAAAGACAAAGTACCTTATTGCTAGAATCTAAACTATTAATATTATAAATTCGAAAGTCACTGTGTCTCTGTCTGTCTGTCTTTTCTTCACCCCTAAACTACTGAACCGATTTCTGTGAAATTTGGTACAGACATAGTTTGGAACTCAAGACAGGACATAGGCTAGTTGTCAAAAATCTGCAAGAAATTACTATTCCACGCGAACGAAGTCGCAGGCAAAAGCTAGTGTAATATAATTTGCGTAATTATTTAGGTACACAAAAATATCGAATTCCGAATCATCGTTTAAGTTAGCTAGTTAGTTAGTAACTATGGTAGGTGACACACATCGTTTGCCTAGTAATAAAATTATAACAGAATCGTAGTAACTAAAAAAACTAATTTCAAAATACTCGTAAATTCACAAAACACGCATTCCATTACTGAACCCATAATTAATCCAGCAAGCAAACACACTTCATCCCGCAGACAGGTTAAAACGAAATTAATTTTCATACATAAAAGTTTATTGGAACTCGCCACTCAGTACATAATTCCTGTGCATACACCTACTTAAAAGTTAGTACACCCTAATTGCGTCACCGCAAGTAATGTTTTAAAACACTTCATACGTAGAGTTAACGCGAAAGTTAACGTTAAAGACTCATGCAAATATGTTAAGAAACCGCGGCGAAACTGTTTAAGTAGCGGGGAATGTTTTCGCGACTCGTTATAAGTGACAGCTTGTGTGTAAGCGAGGTTCACGTTAAGTGATTACTCGGTACGATGCCTCCGTTCTTGGTTCGTGTATTAATATGTCGATGTTTTTAGCTTTAATGGCAAAAATGTTAATGTTAACTTTCGATTTTGTAAGTATAACACTGTGATTTATTTATAGTAACGTTCTATTTTAGTTATTAACTCGAGTTTTTAATCGATTTCATTTAAAAATTATCGGTACTTAATTTATATTTTTACAACGCGATAAAAAAGTTAAAGTCATTTTTAACATGGAATTCGTTTCGATTTCGAATTCGAATTCAAGTCGGATTTTATCAAGCATTAATTTTTTAATTCGATTACATTATCTGTGTTCATACTTTAAACCTTTGCACAAACATCTGTGCACAAGGTGGACTTACACTCGCTTAGCACTCGTATGTAACAAATATTTGAATTCAATAAATAATTTCTCTGTTACTTTTCTATAATTAATAAACCAAACCTTCAAACTACACCAAAATCCTTCAAAAAAGCGAATTTATATTACCTACACGTTTTTAAACATAAAGGTTGACACACACGAAACTACGGTGACGTTATTGAAACACATTAATGGCGCTACCGTCGCTTTTGGATTTGAACAACTTGCCAATCTGTCCTGCACTCGATCACTTAGACTCGCTATTAAGTTATTACTTAAGTAACATAACGACAGTTTACATTGCTGTTAGAATTACAAGTTATTTCATTATGGGTATTGGGAATTAGTTATTGGTTTTAGTGTATTGAATTGGTGAATGGATCACTGTATCTTTGCAGAAACTCGCCAATGAGGCTTAGGCGTATATGTGTAATTCTTCTCAATAACGAATGTACCCACCAGAGTGAAACTACGGCTTCATAAAAAAATAAGCGTGAAACATGTGTCACTCAAACTCACACCGCATACCACAGTTTGCCATATCATGCCTCAGTATGTCGTGTGGTTGAGGTAAGCATTTTCAATTCCCCAAATCTCCTATAAGTCCTGCAATCCTATTGTAACTTTTCCTCTGTTGCAGATGTATGGCGGGGTAGCGTCGATTGTTTGCCACATATCTATCATATAAAAAGTCCTACTGGCGTTATTATTAATATTTTTGAGAACGTTTGTATCGTAATTCTACCTTCAATCAATTAAAAACATCATACAGAAAAAAATATGTTCTGATATCTAATGGTATATGTTACTTTGACAAGTAATTTAAGAATTCGTTGAAAACTAGGTTTGCACCGCGGTTTCACCCGCTGCCCTACTACTACTCCTATCTGTCAGTAAAAGAATTCTGGTAATCCAACCACCGGTTCCAAAGATTACCCCTACATACAAACTTATAATTACAAATCTTACCTCTTT